AGAGCATCCATTGCTGAGACACTGATGCAGTGCTACATTTCTCCATATCTGTTATAAAAAAAAAAATCATTAGGAGTCTCTGCCTTCACTAATCCTGATTTGTTCCTCACTTATGTGAGGTTTTATGAATGATGCCGGTAGCTCTTTACAAGTTCAACATTTTTGCCACTCTTAAAACCTGTCAGTCTAAACCTGTTAGTCCATTCTGTAATCTAGACTATTTCCAGCATTGCGCTATATTAAATTAACGGACGCAAATATTTGCCATGTGCAATTTCTAACAAAAAAAAAAAAAAAACACTCCAAACAAACATCTGGTCTAAATAAAACGGTCAGTGATAATCAAATACCAATAGTCTTGACTCTTGTGAGAAATAAGACTACATATACTTGGCCTAACTAGACTATAAATGGCAATATCTAGGCTAATGTGATTCTCAGAATGGAAATCAGAATCATAACCCACTGAAATCGCTCACTGAAGACTGAAAATGGCTCGTCTCCACAAGCACAGGCATCAAAATAAAACCAGCTGGAGCAGCCAATCACATCCCTGAAATCCTGAGCCATTCAAGTTCACCTTTGGGAAACAGGCGGAGACATGCTGGACATGAACTAGTCACTGATTTGTCTATTCTCTTGCTTTATTGTACTCCGATGAAACGGCTTGGTCTAAACGGTGGTGGCAAACATCCAGATAGCTGCACTTTCTTTGGAGACGGGTAATTAGGACTACACAAAACGTTAGTTTGCCTATAGATAGCCTGCTGATATTACATGTCTGAGAGTTTGTCTTGTGACTAATACAGCCGTGTGGGCTGTCAGATAATAAACCATTCAAAAAAAAGACACTCTATTGTAACTTGTACTTTACAAGCGTTCAACTGGAGTTCAAACTTTGGTCCATCATGCAAAAGCTAAATGTCCCTATTTATCTCAACCAGCACTTTGTTGATATTGGACAAATAAAAGTGACTTTTCTGCTAGTTTTGCACAGGCGTAAAATGCTACACAAGCCCAAATCTTTTTGTGCGTGCACTGCATATCCTCCTCGGTACAAACAAGAGTAGGCGCAGTGAAATCAGAGCAGTGTTTTCATAGTGCTCAAGCCCTACAGAGGCTTGGCAAAGGCTCGCTGATTTAAAAAGAAAACCACTGAGCCCTGGCATCAACGCAGTGTGCCATCAAATGGCTCTGTTTTCCAATCATGTGATCCAGCTTTAATGCACTGCATGCAAAAGTTTATTGGGTGTTTCATTAAATGTGCATATCCATGTATCTGAAAGCCATCTAAAAGACAGACAAAGCAATGCCAAATCACACTTTAAAGTAATGTAGATGTTAAAAACTGTGATGCATGACTTAAACTGACTGAACTGTACGCAGTGTAAGCCATAAATGCATGCACTATCCACAACGATTTGGGGAAAAGCGGAGTCTGTTCATATAGAACTGAAGGCTGATATGCATTTATGAACATTATTAACTACAATATATTTATTTTCATTAACAACTGAATCAGTTTGCATTGCAAGTAAAGGGTTTTCATGACTTTTTACACATTTTCTTTAACTGATCCATATCAAATGCATCAATGAAAGCCATCTAAATGACAAAGCAATGCCAAATTACACTCTGGAGCAGTGCAGATGTTCAGAATACTGTGATGCATGACTAAATCCTGCACATTTATTGAACTGCAAGCAATAAATGCATGCAATATCCATATACAAGAATGCAGATCCATTTAATAACGCACAGGGAAGCTTGAATGTAAAAATGTTGAATGCACATACAAAAACCCAGACTTTAATACAAGTAGGATATAGCATGCCAAAACATTTACTAAGCATGCTTTAGGTAAAGGTGCGCCTCACCTGCCCAGCTCTTTGCCGGGGATGACGTCATAGCGCTCGGTGAACGGCTCGCTCCTGACGGCGGTCCGGATCTCGCGCAGCAAACCGGAGCGGTTCTGACCGGATTCACACCGAATGCGGCTTCTGGGCTCGGGACACTCAGGAATCATAACGGCTGCTATTAACGTCAATTCGTTTTATTGCTGTACCTACAGCCGCTTTTACCTGCAGGTGAGCTGATACAGCGCGACGAACACTATCACGCTACCTCACCTAATAACAGCTCCTCTCGCTGAATATACAAATATGAGCTGTTTTCATCTTCGACTAAACCTCGTAAGTGAGCAAAAGCGCTTGAGTCTGGCTGCTGCTCTCCTCGACTCGTCTGCCTTCATCCGCACCAACGCAACTGAAAGCCAAGCTCAAGCTGCTCCTCAGACTTCAGTTGCCAGGGCAACGGGCGTGATTGACACCGCTTTCCACCAATTACGATCAAGCACTTGCCGGTGGGCGGGAGGAGGTGGTCCTTGACGGTGACATTTGACCAATAAAAGGTGACCAATTAATTAATTAAATAATTATATATTTGAGATGGAATCGTTTAATGTTTGCGGGACCTTTAGACACCCAAAGACTATTATCCTCTGTGATTTGCATTAATATTTAACATAAACATTTACCTATAATGATAAATATAATTTTAATTATATATATATATATATATATATACATAGCCCTGATTACATTAAAATAAGAGTGTCCCTTTTCTGATTATTAATTATTATTATTATAAGACTGCTCTTATTCTGGGCATATTTAAATATGTTTATCTCCCCATGAGAAGCAAAACATTCACACACACATTGAAGAGATTCTTGTGAGGCCCTCTAGTGTTTGGACTGAGAGTGAACTTGTGTGTTTATGAACGTGTGTGAACCCCATATTTAGTAAGTGAACATAATCAATGCATCCTACTACAAAGAGATTGTTTATTGACATTTATGTACAAGATGTGGAACAGATGGACATCAGAAAATCAGGCTGATGTAGAGTAATTTACCTTCATAATTATATTTACACGTGTATTTTCATTAACATCTGCATCAGTTTGCATGGCAAGTAAAGGGTTTTCATATGCAATTGACAAATAAAACAAGCTTGAGTTGACATCCTTCCAAAAAACCGTTCAGAGTCATCGGGAGCATGTTTATTCCCCGGGCAATAATAAACAATAAATGCAACACAATGATAAACACCATCATAAGAGCCTGCGTGCCCTGGCTAAACATCAGTGACGATCCGTCCATGAACTAATTCTCTTTTGATGGTGAGGTGAGAGGCGTTCGGCCAACAAACAATACACATATAAAGACATAAAAGCACCACTTAAGATATTTCATACTGAATAATAAAAAAATCTGGTTTTGTCATCTGTGGTTATGAACAGTGATTGTATTATTATTAGAAGACGAAGCCTGTTTGCATTTACAGTTACGAGCGACAAACCAACTCATATTTGCTATGGAAGATGTGCATCAATAAATTAAACAAATAAATTATTTAAAAAGATGTATTTTAATGAATAAAGACATACGTATAATATACAAGGTGCATGTGTGGTCTGAAATGTGTTATCCGTGGCAACGCCCACAAATTTACAACAAAACACATTATACCAAGTAGGGAGATATATACGTCCTTTCCCCCCCCATGACTTCTAAATTGCCTAAAATGTCCATTTTGGCTTTGTTTTCATATTTTTTTCACACTTGCTGAAGGCAATGACTGAAAAGTGGTTTGACCAATAGCATACAGGCATTGTACGTATCAACCAATCGTGGTGTGCGAGAAGGCGGGATCTACAGACAACAGTCAAAGCAATGCAATATAACATGTAATGTATGAGAACTGTAGAGAGATTGTCAATGGGAAAATAAAGCCAAGACATTGTAGGCAATTTAGAAAAATCCGTCCAGGACATGTCTGGGAAAAATAGGACTTGTGCCAATCTAGGAATGAATCCAATATCATGCCATTGCCCGTGTCATTATTAAATGCAGCTCATGACCTAAAACAGCTTTGGCTTTAAGAAGCATCGTTTAAACGGTTAGAGAGTTATTTCTAACGTAGCCACATGGACGCTGCTGGCAGAAAGTTCTGATGAGCTCAGTGTTAGTGTCACTAATTTGGTTACATCACTATCAAGTGAGCTTCCAAGTGTGCTTCCTACCTAAAGCTTGAGCTCATATTAGTGAGAGTGAGGTGACAAACTTGAGTTTAACCATTTCTGCTCCAAAAACATAATCCATTTTTAATGACATTATCAACAGTATTTGAGCCATGTGATTAAATCAGGCGAAACAGTTCATCGGAATCACGTAAAGGCAAACAGTTGCTGTGGTTTGGAGTTCAGCTGATGACATGAGAATTAATTTTTAAACTTTGATTTTGATTTAAAGGGACAGTTCACCCAACAATGAAAATGTGCTGTTAATTTATCCCTCCTAAACTCAGGTTTGCTCAGGGGCTATGTTCAGAATAGCATACTAGCATACTATTTATGCAGTATCCATAACATGCACAGCATAAATGTTATCTGTATGCACACAATACCTAGATGATGTTTTACATATCTAGAGTATTGTATCCCATAATGCAATGTGCCTACTTAATGCAGTACCAAAACTAGACTTATTATGTGATCATTCACACATTAAAATGCAAAACAACTTTTATTTCTGATATGAAAAGTGGGTGACACATAATTTTTAAACATGCAGTGTAATGAGGTCGTGTGACAACTACATTGCATACTGCACTTGGAAGTGTTCATTTGTTACATATGGTTCACATACTACAGAACTTTAAATGTGGGCAGTATTAAGTACAGTATATACTGTGCAGTATTCAGTAAGCAATATGTTAGTATTCCGTGTCAAACAGAGCCAGGTGTTTAAAATCACACTTTACCACATTTTTAAGGAATATCCCATCAGAAAGGAGATGTACTGATGCTTAACCAATAGGATGAGGCCAAGGACAAATATGAGTAGGATGCAAGGTTTTCACTATTGCATACATGATGCTTCTGACCCCACACTCCCACAAAGTACTACATATCTTTATTTTAGTGCAGAAACATGCTATTTCAAGTTATTTTAAACAAAATTATCAGATGAAGTTTAAAAAGTCTCTCATGGACTGAGTTATTGAAAATGTTTTCGCAGTAAAAAACAAAAAAAACAAAAAAAGAAGTCTCACTTCTTCACTCCAGACCAAAGGTGCTGGTCTCCTCCACAGCGGTGAGAAGTTTCTCATACAGCACAGGGTACGACGGATAGGGAGGCAGATCCAGACGGTTGAAGCATGTGTGCGCCCTGCAGCAGACGAAAATACAGAGGTCAGAGGTCAGGAGGGAGCTTCTATCATGGCCTCTGACTAAATAGGTGAGACGAGCTCTACACTTCTGTGAGCTGCTTTGCTGTAAAGTGCAGCTTTCCCCAGCAGAGCATGTGAAATTCTGTATCTGAGTGAGGCATCTGTATCCTTTCCATCACATTGGCCTTATTTAGCTCTGGCTGCTGACGCTGTGCACACACAATGACAAACTCCGAGTCGTTCTCACCCTGACAGAGAAATATGAGCCTGTACTTTAGTGCTGACGGCGCCAGGCTTCGATCCGCAGTCCCTTCTGTTTGCCAAAACAGAGAGAAATGATTTTCAAGGTGAACCACTGGATGCAAATTGAGCTTCTGAGTCTAACAGTTGGTTTTCAGGATGACACATCTCGGGCAGCTTTATTTACAAGTCTAAACAGTAAGGCGGTTTCTTTGCTGTTGTGATCGAATTGCACAGTGTGGAAGAACCATGGCAGGTAAACAAAACAGTATTTGAACAAGCTTCACACAAAGAATCTGCTTGGGTTGTCCTAACTGCATCCATTATTTCTGCGTTTTGCACTCTGTGTTTTTCATTTCACGACTGTTTTGATATCAAATATGAATGGAAATGTAAGGATCTCAAAGCCCTGCTTCAATCTCATGATTGTTCATAAAATGAGACTAATATTAATTCTATGAAATATAAACCATGAGCAACATGAAATGAGAAAATCATTTGGTTTTTAATATTCAGCCCAGGTCTTTGAGGTCTTTCTGTGTAGCATCTCTAATCTAATACACATATTGCACATATGCAAGCCATCTATATGGTAATGTGCTCCAAAAAGTTGACAAAACAAACTTTCAGCAATATATGCACATTTAAAATATCCTCTTCATGGTTTATCAAGGCTAACTAACTAAAGCTACTGAGTCCTGTTCCACACCAGCTTCCTGTTTCTGTAGGAAGTGTCTCGATACACAAAAGAAAACTGCGCTAACTTGTCAGTTTTATTGGGTCTTTTCAGGGTTATTAGAGTTAACTAAAACTACCACACACACACACACACATATATATATATACATATACTGTATATTCAGCCAGTTGCCAGGGGAACACCTGATTTAGTTAAACCTGATGTACTAAAATAGCTAGAACTAAAACTGAAATTTAAATAAAAAAAAACGATATATTCATATCAAAAAATTATAATAACGACAAATACTAATCAATCCTTGGTAAATTGGATACATTTTTCTACCTCAGCTAGCATAAAGCTTTCCCTCTTGATGAATTAGCCTTCCTCAAGTACTAAAAAGTCATCAAGAGTTATATAAAGCTGTGTTTAGCATTACTTTAGGGTATATGTGATTCTGCAGGCAGAAAGAGTGTTATCTATAGCAGTATACCTTGGTAGAGAGGTAATCTTTCCCCACTTTTCAATGCAGAAGCGCCGCAGGCCGTTGCTCCCACGGAGCGCTGCGAAACCCTCGTAGGGGACACTGGACGTTCCCGTCACAAATTGCAGCAAGCGCAACCTCTGCTCATTATTGAAGCGCTCCACCGCATCCCAGAAACAACGAATCACAACGTGCCCATCATGGTAACCTGGAGGGTGATGAGGAGACTTGTGAAATTAAACAAAAACATGTGGGTGTTCAGTGCATTATGAGGCTCTGTCTAAAACATAGAAAGCTGTCGACTGCCTACACAGGCAGCTAATTTCTAAGGTAGCGTCCAAACTCCTCAGGAGAAGTGCAGAAGAGATTCCAACAGAGCAGGAATATATCCAATCTTGCTCCGGGAAGGACACTTTTTCGCAGAGTTTAGCTCCAACACACCTGCCGGGAAGTTTCTAGGTTCGCCCCCTATTCCCTCATTCACTGTTCCCTACATTATTCAACTTTAATACACTGAATGAGTGAATGAGAACAAGCGAACAAAATCGGAATTGCTGTGGATTCAATTCAGAATCAACTGTACAGTGTACAATGTGCAAGTTCAGTGTACAGTTGTACATTCATTATTGAAGTGCATTATACAAATTGAATAAGTGCACTCTATATGGTTTCAGACACTAATTCAAATGTCTGAACCCTCAAAAAGTGCACTATAAAAGGGTACAGAGGGTGATTTCAGACATAGTCCTAGTGATCCTCAAGATCTTAGTGGCTTTCACAACTGGTAGTTATAGGAACTCAGTTATAGGAACTACTGTAGCTACCAGGGCAGTCCCTGAGGTCTACATTTTCCCCTAGGGCCATATTCCTGGTTGCAACAACTGGAGGATGAAGGATGGTGAAATACCTGGACTTCGGCATCAATGCATCTCCATGTTCATGGAGTTAGTTTGTGGAGTAAGTTTATGTAAACTGCGTGTTTACACGCCAGGTGCCGGTGTTTCGTATGGCATGCCTTCAGCCAATCAACATTCACTTACATCACTGGTAGTTTCTATTGTGTTGAGTTAGACCCTACTCTAAAGTAGGAGCTAATTTAGTCCCCCCAAAAGGCATTCTTATAACTACAATCATTCCCAGTTCATGCGGTGCAAACAAGCCAAAAAGCAGGTACTTTCACCAAGAGTTACAATATAGGAACTGTGAAAACATTCCTCCAGTGCCAAAGCCCCCTTTGATTAGCTGGTTCAGGTGTGTTTTATTGAGGCTGGAGCTAAACTCTGCAGGAAGGTGGCCAATCGGGAGCAGGTAACAAGCTTATTTAAATCAGCTAAAGTATAAGAAGAAAAGAAAATGCGTATCTGAATGTGCATAGGCTGTACAGGAAAAGTCAACCGAAGACTCCAGAGATTCAACCGAGGTTATCTCGACACCGTGAAACTACAGCACTGCAGGGTTATATGAAATTCTACAGGGGTCACGCTTTCAGTGTTATGAACTGCAATCTAAAGAGATGGGATACTTGTTTTGGCATTAGCTGTGGGATACAATCCTGTTGACCCTCCATAGTAATTCACAGCAGAGGACCTGAAAGAAAAGTGAGACCACTCCACATGGAACAAATGCTAAGCCTGAACAATCAAGCTTCTACTCACTGATGAAGACCACTTGAGCATTTCTCTTCAGTAATGAATGATTCATTGATCGTTTTTGCAGCAAAATTGACAATATTACCCAGCAGCTGCCATGAATTTTTAAAGACAAAGCAAGCATTTGCTCACCTCCTCTATATTCTGTGTTGGATCTCCAGTCGTTCAAATCGATCTCGGCCGTCCCTGCAATGACCAACTCCAGCTCACGAGCATCGAACACTGAAACCAGGCGGGAGTCTACGACCTGCATTGTAAAGGAACAGTTTATATATGACATTCAAATCACCTGAATCTGATTAGTAAGTAATTGTTTAACTAAACCGTTGTGTTAGTGAAACTGCTATTCAAGCTAACGTACCTCATAGAAGCCTCTCACAAGGGCTTCGGTCTGCTGCATAACCCCCCTCTCCACCCTCCATCTAGCCATGCGCTCAATGTATTCCTTCTTGTTCTTCTCTGTCACTTGGATATTGGAGCCTCCCGACTTCAGTTCCCTCTCTATCACCTGTCAGATGACATGAAAAGTTTTAAGGGTTGCTACAGACCTTTGTCGCACCAGAATGTTTACAATTATTAGTGACATGGCACCTAAAAAAAGCATGGATTCATCCTGAGCCACTTTTTTGTTGCTGTGTGTAATGTTAAAATATTTATCCCAAGCCAGGCGTGTCCAAATCTGCTTCTAAAGGGCTAACGTTCTGTAGAGTTTAGATCCAACTTATCCTAACACCTGCCTGGAAGTTTCTAGTGATCCTGAAGACACTGATTAGCTAGTTCAGGTGGGTTTAACTGAGCTCAACTCTGCAGGACGGTGGCCCTCCAGAAGCAGGATTGGACAACCCTGAGGTAAACCATTGATGAGTGTATCTCCTGAGTGTAAACAAGTGTTTCCCAACTCTGGTCCTGGAGCTCCCATTGTGGTTGTGGTTGCAATGGAATTGAGAAACACTGGTGTAAACAGTGTGGCTTGGTTTGCATTGGTGACCCCGACGTGCCAACTTTTCCAACATTTAGTACAATGTGGAAAACTGGTAAACAGGTTTGGCTTGCTATATGTAATGCCCGAGCATCAGTTTTCTTAATCATTGATCATTATTATTGTTGGTATTTTGTTAAGACACTAGGGCTGAAACGATTAGTCGACATTAGGGCTGCACGATAAATCGCATGCGATATTTAACGCGCATCTTGTCAGAAAGCTGATTCTGTAATCAGCTGTAAATCTCCATCACCTGCGGGCTTTCACATTGAGCAGCATTAACTACACAGAGCCGTTGTTCACTGACGAGCACCGCAAAAAATCACGCGAATATGAACGTGGTTTTGCGCAACTCGTCAGTTTCAAAACAGACTGAATTATCCAGCACCTGTCCGAAGACCTCCTCGTTGACTGTAAACGTCAGATCCAGGATATCCGTGATATCGTTGTCCTTCATCCACTGTAAGCTCTGGTGGAACTCCTCATCCAGGTATTCCAAATCACTCAGATCTGTCACTCTACGGACCACACAATACAGACATCCAATCACAATCCATCATTCGAAACTCACTTTATGATGTCATCTCCACTGCAAAGAAGCTTTGAGACTCACAGTCTGAGCAGGGCCTTGTAGAACGGTCGAGTGAAGAAAGCATCCAACAGATACTGGTGGATCAGAGCCAGACCCAAAATACGGCCACTGAAACGGAACCTGTGAGGGTCCAGCAAAACATTTATCCATGTCATAATGTTCTGTGCATGCTCCAATATAACACATATCCTGTTTTTGAACCAATTATAGGCTTTTAAAATGATCTACCTTCTGGATAGGGCTTGAAAGTCAGACATTGTGACTTTGGCCAGCATTTGAATTCAATTAAAAGTTGTGAATCTGAAAGCTGACGTTCACGAGACGTGTCCTCTCCTTGGATGAAGTTCAAGGCAAACGCTGATAATTTGTCTTTGTATTTAGTTTTGTGACTCTATAATTTACTCAACAAGAGGCAGTCGAAATCCCGAAATAAGAGACAAAACAAAGACGTAGCGTGACCGCTTATGACCAGAAGGCATGCGATTCCTCAACCGCATGCCACATCAACCAGAGAACTACAAAGCTGAACTTCAAAAACATTCCAAACAGCAATAATTAGAGATAAAGAGAGATAGTAAGGTAGAAAACGGAAGATCTCTCACCATTCCAAATGATGCCCCACAGACACACTTACTTGATTTTTCCTGGTCCCTGGCCGTAGCCTTTAGCCTCCAGCTTCCTGTAAAAATTACGAAGCTTTGCCTCAAAGTCTCTGCGGTACGGAGCAGGTGCTCTGGCCCTCTGCAAACCTGTCAAAATACATAATACCGCTGCATATAATTACACACTGGTCTATATTTGAACATTTCCTTATTTGAAAATATCATACAATATATTCAAATGAAATAAAAGTGGGCAAAAGCCAAAGAAAAGCTACATTTAATACATTTCTGGGTGCCTCAATGTGAAACAACAAAGCAAATGGAGCAGGGATGTCAGCACCATGCTGTGAAATAATTTGACTTATGAGTTTCTCATCAAGCACTAGCTATCACAAGCGTGCCCAACAGTGAAAGAACCGTCCTGACGCGAGGAACGACCTGTGAGTTGTTTAAACATGAGGGAAGTGGTAGACCGGCCAGATTGCAACCGCAAGCACACTGAAGAACTGATGCGGGGAATGATTGCTCTCACTGTGTTTTAGGGAAAAGGCTTTGCTGGGTTTTGGCAAGCGGCGCTACACTCAAGAGACCGGCTCATGTTTCCACAGACTTTTTAAAGAAAGCCTTAGAAGTTAGTATGTGGATGTTTGTTACTGAGCATGATTTATAAGATCCTACGATAATAATCTGGGTAAACAACACAGTTAGACTGTGTCTTCAGCATTTGAAATAGTTGTCCATTTGTAGCTTTTAATTCACGTCTTTTAGCTTTGATGCACTCTATCTGCTTGTGTTATTCTAAAAGTTTTCTAAAAGCACTTGTATAGTACTGATTCCTCATCTTGAGTACACAGCTGATTTTTGTTGGCTGCAGATCTAGAACTAGCAGTAGTTTCAAAGCTAAACTAGGGGAATCGTTTTTGTCCAACTGAATGAGCAAACCCAATGATGAAAGTCTTGCTTTTAAATAGTAATATGATCATACCCGGTGAACTCTGAGGTGAGGATCCGGGAGAGCAGCGTGGAGAGAAGCTGAGGCCGGGGTGGAAAGAGTGAGATGGGATATACGACATGATCTCCTCATCAAAAAGACTGAATGACAGAGAGGAAAAAATATTAGAACGCATGCAAAAACATGTTTTTATATGTGTATTTATTTTTAAATATTGCATAATTAATACAAATTAAAATGTCAAAAATTAAAATCTGTGTTAAAGTGTAATGTATTTCTGTGATGCGCAGCTGTATTTTCAGCATCATTCCTCCAGTCTTCAGTGTCACATGATCTTCAGAAATCAGTAAAATATGCTGATCTGCTGCTCGAGAAACATTTCTGATTATTATCAATGTTGAACACAGTCGTGCTGCACAATATTTCTGTGGAAACTGTGATGCATTTTATTTTTCAGGATTCACAGATGAACAGAAAGTTCAAAAGAACAGCATTTATTTGAAATAGAAATCTTCTGTAACATTATAAATGTCTTTACTGTCACTTTCCATCAATTTGATGTATCACTGATGAATAAAATAATTTTTTAGTATAGTTTTTTTCTTTGATTCTGTAGGTTTGACTGACCTAGAGGCACTGAATCGGGCTGGTATTGATTCCTGACGGCTGATATTAAACCGTTTCCAGGTCTGCTGACCAGAGACGCTCCTCTGTTTCGGGACACTTCTGATGCCTGAGACACAGCACATAACATCAGCAACATTACAGTCATGACTTGAAATCTGAGAGCATTTGCATGTGTGTGTGTGTGTGTGTGTGTGTGTGTGTGTGTGTGTGTGTGTGTGTGTGT